CTGACATCGTAACGGTTGTAGCCTCAGGAAGCAATGACCTCATATGATCCTACAAACTTGCCTTTTAATTTAGCTGTAGGGGCGAACTGTGTCCGAGCAATTGCCACTAATTCTCCGGTCGTATTAGATTGGGCTGGTTTACATTTCCTATCCGTTACCCTCTTTTGTGCGATTTGCATGTCGTGGATCTTATTCCTTGCACGTTTCCTAAGCTCCGTTGTGGGTTGTCGAAAGACTGTTGCAGACATCCGAGGCTGTTGAGAACTTCCGTTGTATCCGTTGTCTTTACTGAAAATAGCCAACAGAATTAGCCATACGGCGTTTATTTTCCTGACGTGATTCATTATTTGTTGGAATTTTTGACTCCGTAATTTTGCTTCGAATAGGCGAATGTCGACGCGGTGGAATGTCAGTCTTAAAAACGTCTTCAGCAGCTATGAGGTTACTCTCGGCAATATTGGTTTTCGCAGCCTTCACTGGCGTGCTATCNCTCTCTTTCTCTCTTTCTCTCTCTCGGTGGCCGCTAGGTTTAGTCTTTGACACGACGCTCATCACTGTAAGGTAATGGTCCCGGTTTCGAATCCACCAGCCCTGCATTCGAACCCGACATACTTACAAATGGGCTTTTTTTTCAAAAACACCGGCACTCTGAGGGTTAAAAAAACAAAAACAAATATATATAATCGATGAACACAAAATCTTAAATAGAGAGAAAAATCAAATAATCCTAGAAAGACAAACGAAAGATCCTATTATTTCAAAAATTTTTGGCAAAAACGGGATTACATTGTATATCAACCATTCCGACAATAAAACCTTATAAATAAATTAATCTAGAATATTTGAAACCAAACATAACATATGGTGTTTATTACAAGGAAGTAAAATCCCTTAAAACGGAACACGAACTTATGCTTAAAAATTTGTGTGAGATAATCACACAAAACTTTAAGAAAATTAAAATAAAACAATACTTATGTAGAAATCATGAGATGTGGTCTGGTGTGATGTAGGTTTCAGAAAAACATTTTCTTTATCGTGCCTACGCCCTTGTTGCGGGCACTCTCGACACGACACGAAGGAATGACACAATTACACAGAAGACAAACACTTTGAGCCCTGAAGATGATCTCAATAAAGATCGATAAAGAAAATGTTTTTCTGAAACCTACATCACACCAGACCGCATCTCACGATTTCTAAATAAATATCGATTAACGGTCACTAATCACCACACATAAAACAATACGTCAAAATGAATATCGATGTATTAACCCCTGAAGAACAGAAAGACACCATAGCTAATTATCATCTCGGAAAAACTTATCAGAGAGGTATAAATGAAAATTGTAACCATGTGAGAAAAAATTATTATTGGCCAACAATGTTGAAGGATATTAAACACTTTATAAATTCCTGTATTGAATATAACATTACTCCCACACCAAGTTCACTAATCTTGTGGAACAAAGCTCAACAAAAAGTAGCTACCCAAACATTACGCAGCATATAAACTAGCAGACCTATGTATAACAGGGGCAATGAGAACAACCCCTCCAAATGCATTAGAAACTTTGCTAAACCTACCTCCAATGGAAATATTCATACAAGGAGAGGCTAGGAAAAGCTCACTTAGGCTCCAGAAACAATGAAATTGGAAAGGAACTAAACAATTCGGGCATACAACCATAATCAACAAAATCAGACACCCATTGTTAGAAATGTGGATTGATTATATGATCCCGAAAACATTCTTCACAACTTTCTATAAAGTCTCAACGGACTATAAAGGAGAAGAAGAACACAAGAGAGCATCACATACAATGATACGGTACACAGATGGCTCCAAAACAAACGAAGGAACCGGAACAGACGTTTTCTGTACAAACCCAAAACATGAGCAATCAAACTCATTAGGGAAGTACACTTCGGTCTTTCAAGCAGAAATACATGCCATCAATGCTTGTGCCCTGAAAAATCTTAAAAGGAGAGGTTACACTGACCAAAAAATCATCATAAGATCAGATAGCCAAGAAGCTATTAAAGCATTAGCATGTGATAGAATCACATCAAAATTAGTGAGTGAATGCATCCAAAATCTCCAAAACCTGGGGAAACACAACAACCTGATGATATCTTGGGTGCCAGAGCACAGGGGAATTTTGGGTAATGAGAAAGCAGACAGACTGGCCAGAGGAGGATCTGCAAGACCATACATAAGCCCTGAACATATACTTGAGATAACAAGAACAAATATAGAATCGTCCATGGCAGAATGGATCCGAACAAAACAAAAGTAGAAGTGGATGAACTCTAGTCGTGCTAGACGTAGTAAATTTATGATGAAGCAATCATCACCGAGACTGGCAAAAGCATTGCTGTAATTGCAGCAGGGACCATCAATGACCTGATAATTCTAAGAAGGATTGATTGTATTGACTTTACTAAGGAACTAGGAAGGTACAATAAGCCAGAAGGCTGCAGTGCCTGGGGGGTACAAACCCCGCTTCCTACTATCCTTTTCTACCCTACCATACATACCAAACCCACACCAAGCAAGCCTTTTGAAAAAATTGACGTAGATACATTTCACTTTAAGGATCAAAAATTCCTAACCCTAATAGATTGTTTCTCAAAAAGATTTTTAGCCTTCCCCGTTAAAAGCCTTAATCAGTTAGAATTCCAAGAACATATTGTAGAATATTTGTCCCAATACCCGATACCGAAAACGATACAAATAGATAACGGTAGGGAATTTGATAATGCTGGAATTAGAAATTTATTAAACCTTTACAAAATCGAGCCATACTACTTAACCCAGGGACATCCAGACTCACAAGGTATAGTGGAACGTATTAAGGGCCATTTTCGATCTGTTTATTTCTAACTCTAGAGTTCTTATAATTACGCTAAGCCTATCTACAATCATCAACCCTGCTCCATTGTCCTGAGCTTGTTTTTCTACCTTTTGTAACTGTCCCACAATGATAGAAACCTGTTGGGTTTCTTTCGCGATTTGATTTACTCTATCTGTTAATTTCTTGGTCTGTAGATGTATTGCTCTGTTCACTGAGTGCTGTTTGGTCAAATGGTGAAGAATTTCTCCCTGCTGACGGCTAAAACTGGCCAAGCCTTCTTCCACCCGGTCGTTCCCGGGTTCGTAGAAAATACCGGGACTCTGGAAGGGGTGGTGAAGGTGTCCTTAATGTGGCGGGAGGTTCCCAAGATAAATCTCGGGGGTCATCTTATTCTGGGGTCGAGTCGCTGTAATATTCTGCATCCTCCTCGAGGCCAGGTGGGGGAGGTGTATCTTCCATTTCTCTCCTTCCTTGTTCCGTTTGTGACTCGTCACTTCCGTCCTCCCAATCGTTGTCAACGATCCAAGCCGGTTCTAGTTCCTCGTCATTGTGTCGCGGGCCCTCGCTTACGTCATTCCCGTTACTCCGAAGCGTTCTGGACGGATTAAGATATCCCATTAGGGGTTTCAGCAGATTTGCGTGAACTACATGTCTCTTTCCTTTACCTACTTCGATCTCGAGGGTTAGGGGGCCCTTTTTGTTAATGATAAGATAAGGGCCCGTCCATGGTTTGGAAAATTTGACTGCAAAACCCCTCGGCAATACTGGTTGATGCAAGAGCACCCATTGTCCCACTTGTAGATTTACCACCTTGGACCTTTTATTGTAATGGAACTTACTGCCCAAGTACGCCGCTTGTGAGATTTGTTGAACTATTTTATGGGATCGTCGCAATTTTCTTGCTAGCTGCTTCAGATATCCTGGTATTGATAACTCTTTGGGGCTAAGGGGGTGTACTTCACAAGGAAAGGGTGTGCGGATCTCTCTCCCGTAGATAACTGCGTTTGGGGTAGCGGATGTAGCCGATTTTGGTGTGCTATTGTAGGTCATTACCACAAACGGCAGCCACTGGTCCCAATCGCGCCCATCCGGATGGACGAAATGTGACAGTGATGTTACTAGAGTGCGGTGGAACCTCTCTACTCTCCAGTTCCCTTGGGGGTGGTACGCCGTAGTTTGTAACTTACCCACTCCCAACAGTTCACACGAGCCCTTGAGGAGGGCTGAAGTAAAATTTGTGCCCTGATCCGTTAACAGAATTCCGTGTTGCGAGAACACCTGCGTCACTAGTTTATATGTTTCCGTCCCTGCGGTTTGATCCTTCAACCGTATGGCCTCCGCAAACCGTGAAAAATGATCGATGCAAGTCAGGAAGCTGTATCCCGTTTTGTCGGTGAGGTTGCTGGCATAAGCTATTGGTCTTTTGGAACCGTTTTGAACCTGAGAGAGCACTGTTCCAAGCCCGACATTGCTACAACGAATGGTAGGGATACTTGTTTCTTCGCGAACTGACATTTTTCCAAGTTTATCGTAAGATTCGCTTCAGCAAATGTTTGGAGTGCTCTTCCCATATTCCCAATATAATTACGTCGTCCAAGTATACAAAACATTCCTCCCCCTTGAGGAGGTTGCGAACCTGTGAACAGACATGGAAAAAGAATTGCGTTGGGACGAAAAAACGACGAAAAAATGTAGTGTTTTCTCTTGATTTTGAACGTTTTTAGGTCCGCTGTGCCTTAAAAAATGGGCATAACGTCGAAATTTTTAACCCCCCATGACCATCCTGGATGCGCCCTTGTAGACAACACACCAATACGGTTGTTCACCCCGTTTACAAATCGATGATCAATTCTATGCTGGAGAAATATGATGGATCAGCCTCACTTAGTTTATAATTATTCAGATATCGTGAGATGCGGTCGGGTGTGATGTAGGTTTCAGAAAAACATTTTCTTTATCGTGCCAACGTTTCGATCTTTTATTGAGATCATCTTCNAGCAAACTAGTAACATAAAGGTCTGGAAAAGAAGTAGGTTTTTAGTTGTGCTGTATCTTTTGGTGAAGCGACGTTGTTAATCTAAACTAGTGTTAAGAATGGAGGGTGCTAATTATCTAGTATAACGATTCGAATTATTCTAATTTCACAATAATTTGGAGATGGAAGATTGGACGGAGATTGGACGATCGTTGTCAATATTGCATAAGTCACCACTTTTTTTATTGGTATTATGTTGGTTCGTTTAAGAATTCCAATAAAGTAGCCAGAATTGAGAGTTTTATTAAATATAAGATAAAGAGGGCAAGAAATAATTCTGTTTTTCTATATTTTTTAAAAATAAAAATATATTTCGTGACACTAATATTAAATAAGTGCGCATTTTAATGCAAGAACTGCAACAGTGCAATAAACAGTCAAAAAACGGTATTTTTTTAAAATCTTTCTCTTTTCAGTTTAGAATCGATTGTTGAATTGTATCATCCTGAACATCCCCTAACCTCCCTGATTTCGTCCTGATTTTCGTATTTTACTACATTTTATAATTCCGTTCATAATTGGGCAAATGAGGCATTGAGCAAGCCAACTACCGCCTGTGACGAAGGGGAAAAACACGTCTTAAGCCGGGAACACACTTACCCGATGCAACGCTATGGGGCGTCAAGCGCACGCCACGTACAGTCTCACAGCGTGCACCACAATCCTAAACTTAATTGTTTTAAATAAAATTATTCCGGTGTTTTGATAAATTCTTCCTGACCATCATAATTAAATAATTTTTATAAAAACTCGTGAATTTTTGATCTCGTTTAATTTGGTTTATAATAAAATAAGAATGTTGTAATTAATACAACGACAATAATACATGTAGTTTGAATAAAAATATGAATGTCCGGTTCTTTTGTCTTCGATTGTACTCGATGCAACCCGACGAAAATGTGGGGATCAAAGAACGTAGCGTTGGGTAGCGTTGCATAGCGCTGCATCGGCTAAGTGTGTTCCTATCTAGCGAAAACTAGCGAGAATAGGTAGACCACCATATATTTTTTTCCGAACAATCCAATGTTTCTTCACTACCCATGATCACAAAATTATCTGTGCCAAATGTTTAATCCATACGGCGTTTATTTTCCTGACGTGACTCATTGTTTGATGCAATGATTGACTCCCTAATTAGGATTTTGCTTTGAATAGTCGAATGTTTCTTCACTACCCATTGTTATAAAATTATCTGTACCACATCATTAATGTGCGTATTTTGCGCCTTGTGTGCACAGTTGAACCTGGCGGATATAAAAAGTAGTCGACGCGGTGTAATGTCAGTCTTAAAAACGTCTTCAGCAGCTATGAGGTTACTCTCGGCAATATTGGTTTTCGCAGCCTTCACTGGCGTGCTATCCTGTACCCAGCAAACCAGCAGCTCTCCAAACTTAAAGTAAATTATTATCACAACAAAAGTATCGTATTTAGAATTTCTTTGGTATCTCTATGTTAAATACATTCCGTGGGTTTATATCTATGGAAATTCTATAGAAGTCTTTATTTGATTAGCGTTTTTTAGCGTTTAGAAACAAATAAATTATTTGTAACAAATTTATTTTCTTCTATTGTTTTAGAGCTTTTACAGTCCGTGTTGTCACATGGAGCGTTAATAGCAACTATTTACCGAAAGATTTCTCGGATTTACTTGGAATTGCTGTAAGTAAACAAAAAATTGAGGTTTCGTGTACGAGAGATATTACCTAGAAAAATTTGGTTTTAGAATAGGTCGAAAACCCCCGGGGCTGACATGATCGTGGTCGGACTCCAAAATTTAGGAATATTGGCTAATGAGAAAGACAATGACTGGGTCAGAGCCTTGAAGGACCATGTACACGACGGATGCTACTGGACGGTACGTTTATTTACTTGGAGGATAATATGAAAAGTGGTGTAACACTTTTTGAAATAAAATTTGTTTTTAGATCGATGCCAGTATAAGGAAGGGCAATGGGTTTGTTATCTTCGGCAGGACTGATAAACCGCAAGCTGTGCATAAGGAAATGCTTTCCAAAGACGGCGCGATCATCACGAATTTCAATTATTTCGGACACCAATTCACTTTCGTGGGTTTGCAGCTCGACAAAAAAGTCGATGAAAAAAAGAGGGTGGAAGAATACGAAGATGTCAAAAAGAATATAAAGGAGAACTACGATCGAAAGAATGATTTCGTGTTTTGGCTCGGAAATTTGAACTTCAAGATCGAGCTAAATCAAACTAAGGCCAAGGAGTATATCGAGAAGAAGGATTGGACTACGCTTCTAACTTACGATCAGCTCAAGAAAGCTCAAAAGGAGAAAAAGGCGTTTGAAGAGTTAACGGAGCAGAATATCAATTTCGGACCAACGTTCAAGTTCAAACCGGCCACTGACAACTATGATTGGGAAGAAACACCTTCCTGGGCGGACAGGATCTTGTTCCGTTCGAAGAAAAACAATGCAATCACACCCGTTAAGTACGAAAGTATCGAGAAGTACAAAGAGAGCGGACACAAACCGGTCGTTGGTGNTCTCCCTCCCTCCCTCCCTCTCCCACTCCCTCTCCCTCTCCTTCTCCTCCCTCCCTTCCACTCTCCCTCCCTACCTCCATCTATCTATCTACCTATCTATGTCTCTATTGTTTCTGATCCCTGATTTTTTTATTCCCTGAACCTGACATAATAAAATTTTTCTTTCTTTATTTCTCTTTCACTGTCTCCATTTCAATTACTCTTTACCTCGCACCCTTTCTCTCTTTATTTAATTCCTATTATCCTTTCCCTCTCTCCCTCCCTCAGATTGAAGCTGTCCTCAGCTTGCATAGATTTTTGCAATGCATCAGAAGCTGATAACGTAGGACGCTGGCTGATGGCTTTTCATCTAGTGAAGATTTTTTCCAAAAAATCCTACTACAAAATAACTTCTTATTGACAAAATATTTATAACATAGAAATATTAACAATATTATCATTATTATTATTGACATTAATATTGTTGTATAATTGTTAGTATTTTCTTCCAATTCCTCTAAGGGTTCTATGTTCATGTTAGCCTTATAATTTGCTCAAAAGTGAAATTAGTAGTTTGAGTGAAGGAAGTTCTGATGGAATCATCACTTCACTTTCCAATAAGTGTATGGTTGTACAAGATTTAACAATATTTCTGACGTATTAAGAGTTAACTGTTGCGTAAACTTTGGATATACATTCATAGAATATTGTATATTCGAATCCCGCTCGTGCCATTGACTTTTTTATCTCAACTAAAAACCTTAATTAATTGTAATATATTAATTGGTCAAGCGGACCACGAAATTAGTGAATTTGGATGTACAGTTATGTTTACATGATTAATATTAATAATAGTTTTTCTTATGTTATACATAAGAAATTTGTTAAATATTGGAATATATTTAATAAAAGGTTTGACATGGTTTATAACTAAGTTTTTACAAGTAGGTAATTCTTCATCATCTAATAATTCGCTAATACATTTATTTTCTATTTTAACAACATTTTTACAATAATATTTTTCATTTATCAAAGTGCAGTTGCCTGTGAATAATCCGTTATCTCTCAGGACAAAGGAGGGAGGGGTACTCATGTAATTGTTTCATTGCTTTTATAGACAGGATAGGACAAAAGAAAAAATGTTTTAATAAACAGTAGATTGCAGGGGTAATTGAATAAAATAGATGTACTCACTGTGCATAGAACAATGTATAGATGCCATAATGTTGCTATTTCATTTGAAATTAAAGATATTTTGGAGGTGCTGATGACGTTAGCTAATTCTTTATAAGATAAAATGCTGGAATGAATAACACTGAGTTTACAATATTTTAGACTTGTCGTTAGGTCGACAACTTTATTGAAAAGCAGTATAAGCGTTTGAGATAAAAACGAAACTTGCTGGTTATGTGCTAAAGTGTTTGACTCTAAAAAAGGACGCAAAAATTAATCCAAATGAATACAAAGAGGCTGTCGAACACCTTAAGATTCTACTTCAAAATAATCCGATCCATCAGTTACCTGACTTCAGCGAACAATTCATTCTCACTACGGATGCATCAAACTTCGCCATAGGGGGGCGTCGGTGGCCGCAAGGTTTGGTCATCGACACGACGCTCATCACTGTAAGGTAAAGGTCCCGGGTTCGAATCCAGCAGCCCTGCATTCGAACCCGACATACTTATAAATGGACTTTTTTTCAAAAACACCGGGTTAAAAAAAAAAACTTGGAAGAAAATTTTTGATCCAAACCGACCACAAGCCTTTGCAATGACTTCAGAGCATGAAGGAACCGAATTCGAAACTCCTGAGATGGAAATGTCTCCTCTCAGATTTCGAATTTGAGATAAAATATGTTCAGGGTAAAACAAATCAGGGGCTGATAATGAACTATCATGAAATAAAATATGTTCAAGGCGAGACAAATTAGGTGGTCGATGTACAGAATACAAGTTCTTCATATGAATGAGGAAGATATCNATTAACCCTGAAGAACAGAAAGAGACCAAAGCTAATTATCATCTCGGAAAACTTATCATAGAGGTATAAATGAAAATTATAATCATGTGAGAAAAAATTATTATTGGCCAACAATGTTGAAGGATATTAAAGACTATAAATTCCTGTATCGTCTGTCAAAAGGTTATGACAGAAATCCGATCAATATTGAATATAACATTACTCCCACAACAAGTACACTAATCTGGTGGAACAAAGCTCAACAAAAAGTAACTACCCAAACATTACACAGCATACAAAGACTAGCAAACCTATGTATAACAGAGGCAATGAGAACAACCCCTTCAAATGCATTAGAAACTTTGCTAACCTACCTCCAATGGAAATATTCATACAAGGAGAGGCTAGGAAAAGCTCACTTAAGCTCCAGAAACAATGAAATTGGAAAGGAACTAAACAATTCGGGCATACAACCATAGTCAACAAAATCAGACATCCATTATTAGAAATGGGGACTGATTATATGATGGAAGATTCCCGATTGAAAAGGGGATGTTAGTTTAGGACTGGTTAAATGAAGGAATAAGTAATGAACGAAAGGAGTTGTTGAAGACTCACTGTTTAATGAAATTTATATGGCTTACAAGATGGCCGATGATCGTATTGGAGACCTGAATCGCTCTGAAGGCGATGAAGGCCGGAAAGAGATGAATGTCTCCGAAAGCGATATCGTGCGTTGTTCGGAGGTGACTAGGCCAGTGCACCGGCATGGTTCCTGCAGCATCGATGATGGATGATGAAATCCAGTGGCGATGACAATGAGATGATGCAATCCAGGTGGTAGCCAATGAGATGATGGAGTCTTCCGGGGATAATGATGGATGATTCGTTCGTAGGATTATAATGATGATACATGGAAAAAGGGAGATGAAATATTAAGGAAAATGGCCATGATAGGTTAGGGACCATACGGTCGTGAGATGGGCTGCACGCGGAGGTGAAGATCGTATGGCGATTTGAAGGGGAATCCGTGAGGATTCGCGTGGCGATGAAACTAAAAGAAACGGCGATCTTGCACGGAGTGAATTACTATGGCGCAACACTTTGGGAAGATAACACGGAGATAGAGGTATCGTTCCGGCGGAGAAGAGAGCCCAAAAAGGCTGGAAGGGATGGGTTTTTGAGAAAAAAGGAGGGAAGTATGTTATGATTGGTGGATTTCCAAAAGATAGGGGTTGTAGATTGTCACATACATGATTGACTCCACACCATAGTGACGTCGTGGTAGGAGATGTAGGAAACAGGGGGATAAGATTCAGGTGTATGCGACACGGCAAACATGTCGGATCTCTTCTCCGTAAATTGGAAATTACTATTTTTAAAAGGGAGCCGTAAGCTCAAAAGAAAGCATTATTAGGTGGAAAGATGGAACTCGAGAACCGGGCGCCGCCCTCCACGGACGGCTTTGCCCTGATTAAAGAGCTGGCGGAGCACATCTGCTCAAACTTGACCATCAGCAAGGCTTTGTGATAGATTCACCAGTCAGTCTTCCACAGGAGTAGTTGAGTTTTTTCGGTAGGGATTATCGTTTACTAAAGGTGTTATCAAAAGCGATTTTTGGCAGACAGGTCGTTCTCTCCTTACAATATGTGGAAAGTGGTCCTCACAAGATAGAGGGTTACAGTGTACGTCACAAATCGGGCGCTTCGCTGACGGAGACGCGCCCGAACTTCGGGTATTAAAATAAATTAAAACATGGCTTTTATTATAGAAACGTACGACATTTTAGCTGATTCATTGATTTCATCGCATACCAGGTTAAATTAAAATTTTTCTACAGACCTATAGTTTCTATGGTTCAAGACCATAATAACTTTGAAGTTAATGATCTTAGTATCTTTGACTAAAATGTGTATGTGCCAAGCTGTTATAATGAACGAGAATGGCTTACTTAATTTTATCAGAAAAATCGCCGAGGACGGCTTCAAACATGACTGCTATCGACAGTGTTTTCATTTGCTGGTCGGTTTGTTTGCTGACTGTTCATTCTTGTGTGGGATTCCAAGTCAGTCGTTTATCCATGAAAAGTCCACGATAAGGCGCAAGGTCTGTGGTAGGCAATGGGATTCCATTTATACTCACTGCATGACAGATATTAGATAATTTTAAATTGACCCTTCCACAACTAAACTGACGTACGGCCGACAAACTGCTGAGGCCATGGCCGCCCCTCTTGATCTTTCACGTGTATTTTGCTTTAAACTGCAGCCATTTGAGCGTCTCACGGTTACTGACGTCTGCTTTTAAATGTATACTACGTCATAGTTATGGAACAACCAAATGCCCCTCAGAACCACAAGTCAACAAAGTATGCCGGGTCCAGACGCCCGCCCATCATCTTAAGCTGGGCGCACACTAGGTTAGAGCGCGGAACCGACTCCCAAGAAGAATACGTTAAAATGAATGTAACCCCCACACTAGGTCGGTAGGGTGGCGCGGCGCGGAGCTGGAGGAAGTTGCCAGACGTCTGGAACCCGCGAAATTGCGCGCCGGGGCGGTCAGATATCGTTGAGTTCGGGTATATTCGGCTGCCCTCGGACGCCATATTTGTAAAGACGAAGCCAGCGATTGAGACGTAGGGACTCCTGGAAATGCAAAATCAACACTAAACCGCAGCGCTAGTCAGATGGAGGGGGAAAATTCCACCAACGCGGACGAGAGCTGTTCCTACATAGTGTGCGGACCTTATGTACAAGTTCTTCCTTTAAAAAAAAAAAAGCGCTGAAGGACATAGGAGTGGAAGCAGCTTGGTACACCAGGGAAAATATTGGAAAGAAAGTTAGAAATGACAAATTGAAAACAGATTAGAATCCAGTGAAATGTACAAAATAACGTGTGAAGGGGGAGAGGCTGAGTATATTGGGAGAAGTGGCAGAAAGATTGAAGGAAGAATAGATGTACATTTTGGGATGCTAACAAGGATAGAAAACCACAAGAAGAAAATTGAATGTGAAGGAAGAAATAAATACACTCACCAAGAAAGTACGAGAAGCAACGT